GGAGCTGCTGGAGAGAGTCCAGTGCAGGGCCACAAGGATGATCAGGGGCCTGGAACATCTGCCCTATGAGGAGAGGCTGAGGGAGCTGGGCCTGTTCAGCCTGGAGAAGAGAAGGCTGAGAGGGGATCTGATGAGTGTCTACAAGTACCTCCAGGGAGGCAGTGAGGAGGATGGTGCTGATCTCTCTTCACTGGTGGCCACCAACAGAACTAGAGGAAATGGCCAGAAACTGAAGTATCAAAAGTTCCATAGGAACTTAAGGAAACATTTCTTGACAGTGAGGGTGAGTTGACAGAGCACTGGAACAGGCTGCCCAGAGAGGTTGTGGAGTCTCCTTCCCTGGAGATCTTCCAAACCCACTTGGATACAGTCCTGTGCCATGTGCTCTAGGTGACCCTGCGTGTGCAGGGACGTTGGACTAGATGATCTCTAGAGGTCCTTTCCAACCGTAAGCATTCTGTGATTCTATGACTGCAGTGAAATTTTGAGGAAAACGTTGGCACTTGGGATGAGATTCAACTCTTCTAAATTGCTCTAGTTCACACCAAAACACCTAATGGTACCAGAAGATCTACATATGCCAGATGTACATACCTGGCATAAGATGGTCTGAATTCTTAGCTGAACTTGACTGACCATAATCTGTTAACCAGTTCCATTCTGAATGAGGGCTTAGGTAACTACTTCACATATACACATCAAAATCAAATAAGATTAATATTGACCCCACGTTTTGATAGATTTCCTTGCCTTTTGTGGAACTGTGGCTTTGAGTCTTCGAAGTCTGAACTGTATAAAAATATATATTGCAGCTAGGATTTAACCTTGCTGTATTTCATCTTTTAAGATTCTTTTCCTATATCACTTACTGTTCCCTTTCAGGCAATGACCAGGGCTAGAGCGCACAGGTCTGAGGATACAATTCTTGCCTCTGCCTCAAGTGATGAGGAACTCATGGATACGGGGATCAAAGCCCCTGGAGATTCAGATGATGGCCTCCCTTCAACCGCAAGTCGAGGAAGGGGTCGGGGAAGAGGTAGGGCAAGAGGTGCAAGAGGACAAGCTTCGGCAGCAAGAGGATCATCTCAAAGGAGAAGAGGTAAGAAAAATCTCATTTCCCTTAAAGGAGGAGATTCTCTTCTGATGCTTCCATGAAGTGCAAATTTGTTGTTTAAGAGCTCCTACTGAAAAATTCTGCACAACTCTTTTTAGTACCAAACAATATATGGTTGACTGTTGTATAAAGCTTAGGTTGTGACTTTTTCCATAGTTTGATAGGATCTTCATTCCCTGTCCAGGAAACTTAGAAGGCTCGTAAGAGTTAAGAAATGTACTGTTGGGACATTCTGTCCTGCAAAATGCATGGATATACTGTTCCTCTGCTAACAGTAATGCAGCAATATGCTTCTTATAAAGAGGAGGTACAGATTGACTCTGTCCCAACACATGTGACGTCACTGACTGGTGATGGAGAAAATGGGGAGTGTTTCCTTGGCAAAACAAATTGACTCCTTGGCTGTATACAGTTATGTACTTTACAGTGATTGTGCCATGTCTGTTATGGAGGCCAACTTAAAAAATAAATTAAAGGTAATTTGGGGTCTTGCAATAATATTCTTCTTTGGCTTGTCTCAGCAAGATGTACAAATTCTGAAAGTGAGAAATTGAGGAGCAGGATGAGCTGAAACAAAGACAGTTCTCTCAAGAACTGATCATGTATATCTTGAAACTATTTTTATAAGCATATGAGCCAACACAGTTGTGATGCAGTGAGTGTGCTTGCATGCAGGACAGCTTGAACTGAAGGGAAGGAAGAAGAATGTAGGTTAAGTGACAGACTAAAGAAAAAAAAAACAAAACAAACCCCTTCTGAACAGAACTGCATACTGCTTATTGTTCCTACAGGAAACACTAGCCAAGAACCAGCTACTAGTAGCAGAACATACAAGCCTGTGTCTGTGCCTGCTAAGAACATGTCTATCGTGGATGGTATGTCTACAGTCTGTCCATTAATTTACTCTCAAATTGTAAAGAAACTGCCTGGTTTATGGTGAAGTCTCTTAATTGTCTTTGTTTCTGTTAGTCAGATTCAGCTAAGAGATTCTTTTGGCTCCGGTGAAATGGGATAGCAGAATGTGAGAGACACAATTGACTCTCTGGTTAGACTTTCTAAAATATAGGAGTGACATTTAACTCTGTAACCAGCTGGCAATAAAATGCAATCAGAATGGTATCTTCAGAAACGAAGGGCCATGTGTGATCAGCAGGTTCTGGCTTTATGAAGAATTACTTTGTTACAAGAATGGAGGAGGTTAGTTGGAGATGATCAGGATGGATGTGGTGAAAAAACAGATTTTGGAGAATACAAATAATAAATGCAGATCTGTTTCTTTTTCATAGTGTAAGAAAGATGGAAGAGAATGTAGCAATGATTAAGAATGAAGATAGGTTCTGGTGTGGTTTGCTTGCATAAATCTTGAATGATTCACCACAAAAAAAAATAAACTCATTCACTCATTGTTGCTTCATAAAAGCAGTTGCATTTGGAAGTTATCTTTATCACCTGGCCTTTAAATGGCCTCTTTGCATATGGGTAAAAGTACATACACTAACTCAAAAGATCTCTTCAGGAAAATACCATGGCTTTTGGATAACCTGAGGTTCTAGTCTTGATTTCCTGAAGCTCATATATTAGAGTGCAGCTTGTCAGGAAGCTTGTGATGTTGATACTGTGGAGTCATTGTCATCAGGGCTATGCTATCAGTGCTGTATAACACATATCAGGTGTGTTATATTGCTGAATTCTTTGCCCATTCTTTTCTGTCATAGAAACAGGCACTTGCACTTATAGGTGTTTGCTCTTGGCAAAAGCAGATAGAGCAGAGTTGCATGTGTAGATTAGTCTTACACATTGCAGGTCATGGCAAGGCAAACTGTGTGTGTTAACCTACATGTGATACTTGCCAAAATCCCTAATCCTGAACATACCAGGGTTTACAGACTCTTCTCCTCAATTCATTGCTGACTCCTCTATATGGGCCATTGTCATAGTTCTGACGCTGCTTCTCAACTCTTTGGCTACCTTCACAGACCATAATGTTCTTATGCCAGTTTGTTTTCTTGACTGTAAATTATTATAATCTCCAAAAGAATATTTTCAGAGGTCTGAGTCTGAAGTTGTCAAACTGCAATATTAAACTAAATGCCAGATGGAGAAACAAAGACGCAGGCATATAGAGAGTCCTCTGGTTT